CGCGGCACGTATCAGCCGGGCGCTGGAAGAACGGGACGCGGCGAAGAAAAAATTTTAGAGGGGAATAACTTTCTTGGGACGTACTTTTTTGACTTGTTGAGGTAGATTTTGACTGTGCCTGAGGTGCGCTTTCAGAAAACTACAAGGATTGCCTAACTCTCCGGAAAGTACTTCTGTTAGAAGTGGAAAACCCAAAATTCTAAGAAGGCGCACCTTCAACTTTGAAGGCCCATAAAATCTTTGTTTTGCGTATGCTAACGAGTCGGTCAAGGGATTTCGTAAGGTCGAGCGCCTTGAGAGGCGCGAAGACCTAGGGATAGAAAGAGGCGTGTCAGGTCACGCGTCTATGGGACGCGTGTCCTGACAGTATCCATTCCGGCTTGTTTCTGCTCAGAGAGTGGCTGCTATTTCGCAACGTCTGATATTCTCGTATTCTAGCGATGGCTGACGACGACAATGTTCCAGTCACTGACGAAGCTGTACCAGCTCCAGTTCAACCGAAGGTCTACCAATTGACCGAAGAAGCCTTGCAAAGCATCATTCATTCGCGGGACGGGCCCTCAACAGCTCCAGCTCTAAGTCACACGTTCAAGCGGACAGGTTTGGAGAGGCATCAAGTTCAATCAGGAGATTATGGACATTATTTACCCTATTGTCGATCTCGCTCTGGATGACGACATAAAACTAGTCTAGAAAAAGCGGTATCACTGTTGTCGGCTAGGAACGAACTTCTAATCGAGGCGGATGAGGATGTATCGGTGTTTGCCTTCTACGATCAGCAAAAGAAGGCAGAGAAAACCAAGGATCCTATTCTGTGCAGGTGGATCAAAAAGAAGGAATCGGAGACCAAAACGAAATCGATCGCTTGGAAGTCGAGCCGGTTCGACCCGGTTCAAAGGTCGCCAACTCCCTTTCGATTTCAGAGGGCGGCATGGGCCCCCGTTCCTCCCCAGTTCGTGCCCCAAACACGCTCCTACACCCAAATGGAAGTCCAAGGCACTTCCAACGGTTCCAGGATGGAAGTGCGTCCTTCGATCAGAGGTGCTCTGCCCAGAGATATGTGCTATGGATGTGGACGTTTCGGACATTTCGCATCGGACTGCAAGTTCAACAGGAGAAGCAAGTAATTGTGTGTCAGGTAGTATTCATTCTAAAATGAAGTTTTGGTTGTCATTGAACATTTCTTCGTTGATAAGGAAGACATTAGAGGAGGGTTTCCTCCCAAGTTTTCATACAGAACCTAATCTTGAATTTGCAGAATTCAACAGAAAATCTACAGAAGATCATAAAGAATTTATTTCAGATCAGATACAGTCCTTACTCCGCTCCAAAGCTATTTCAATATCTAACAGTGCCCGTATTCGCGTCAATCCGTTATCAGTGGCTGAAGGTAAGAAACTGCGACTTATTTTGGACTTGTCAGATTTGAACAAGTGCCTTGAGAGGAGACACGTAAAGTTCGAAGATTTGTCAAAGGTTAGAGACCTTCTGCCTCGTCATGGTTTCATGACTTGTTTTGATTTACGATCGGGCTACCATCATGTTCTGGTGCACCCAAACTTCAGGAAATACTTGGGTTTCAAGTGGGGATCGCTCATTTATTCATTCAATGTATTGCCTTTTGGGCTTTCTCCGGCGCCATTCATTTTCACCAAGTTATTTAAACCACTTTTGGCGAGGTGGAGATCCCAAGGGATAGGTGTAGCTGTTTACTTAGATGACGGGATAATTTGGGCTAGAACTGAATCTCAATGTCGAGCTTTCTCCGCTATAGTTAAGAGAGACTTACAAGATGCGGGGTTTTTCCTAGCAGAAGAAAAGTGTTCCTGGCAGCCTTGTCAGAGGATGACCTGGTTAGGTCATCTTATCGATCTCAATGAAATGTCGCTTGACATTACAGAAGAAAGAAAGGCTAAAGCAAGAATGATAATTACTGCTCTTCTGAAAGTCAGAAGCCCATCATTGAGGGGGAGAATGAAATTACTGGGTACCCTAGCCTCCATGCATTTAATCATGCCTCCAGAAATATCCAAAAAGAATCGTTCTGTGGTTACAGAAGTTGCCTGTAAGGTATGCAGTGGGCATAGGCTAGGCTTCAGGTGGCCTCTAACCGCAGAGGAAAGAAAGGAGATTATAGGAGGGCTGGGTTTCTTAAAAAACTGCAAGACAAGCTTACATAATTTCCACAAAGATTTTTGTGATTATTTCGTAATATCCACGGACGCGTCAAATTCGGGGGTGGGAGCAGTTTTTCACACCTCCACAAGCTCCAATCGCATTGCTACAGCCACCTTGCCTTGTTTTTTGAGGGAGGAATCCAGCACCGCAAGAGAGCTGTACGGCATCTTACAAGCGGTCAAATCTTTCAGTCACCTTATTAGTAATGAAAAGGTTCAGATTCAAACGGATAGTCAGGCAGCGCAATCAGTGTTTTATAAGGGAAGCACCAAGAAAGTTTTACAACAGTTGGCTTCTCAAATATGGGAAATAGTCGAACAACTGAGAGTAGATATGCAAGTGTTTTGGATCCCTAGGGAGCTAAATGACGAGGCAGATGACGCTTCCAGAATCATAGACCTGAATGGATGGTCAATCCTTGACTCAATCTTTGACAAACTGAACGAACGTTGGGGACCATTCGAAGTAGACATGTTCGCAGATGCAAATAACAAGAAGTGTGAAACGTTTGTTTCCAGATGGTTCTGCGAGGGCTCCTCGGCCGTCGACGTCTTCAGCGAGTCAGCCTCGAAATTCTGGTGTGAACATTATTGCTGGTGGGTCCCTCCTCCTCATCTAGTGGCACATACAATCGCAACAGCTAGAAGGTTTAATAGTAGGGGCGTCATAGGTTTCCCTTTTTGGCCATCCCACCTTTTGTTTCTTTCGCTTCGCGAATGGGTTGCGCTGGATCCCAGAAATTGTAGATACGTTCGTTGTTCCTAAAGGAAGCGCTCTCATTAAAGAAGCTTCGCCATCTTTCACATTCTGTTCTCCATGCGTGAGCTTTGATTTCATATTCGCCAAAATTGATTTTTCCATCCATACGTAACCCTCGCGCTTTATCCTTTCCGACGAGTTAGCAGAAGCAAAATGGAGTTTTTGACGGAGTTCCGGAGTCAAAATCGTTGTTTTGCGTATGCTAACGAGTCGGTCAAGGGATTTCGTAAGGTCGAGCGCCTTGAGAGGCGCGAAGACCTAGGGATAGAAAGAGGCGTGTCAGGTCACGCGTCTATGGGACGCGTGTCCTGACAGTATCCATTCCGGCTTGTTTCTGCTCAGAGAGTGCCCACCCACCCTCCCATATTTTTGACCACATTGTTACTTTTTTAGGCCCCAGGTGGATGGCATGGTCCGAAACAATCGCAACAGCTCGCGATGAAGGATTGGAAGAGTTAGCCCAAATCGTGGGCAAATCCGCCACCAACTCGCTTGCCCAGAGCACAATGTCCGCTTACTCGTCCATGAGGAGCCGCTTCGAGGCTTTCACAGCCTCTCTCTCCATATCGCGATCTCACTTGGGGAAACTTAGGAACCTTTTCATCGCCCATTTAATTCATAAAGATCAACTTAAAAGCATACCAATGGCTCTGGCATCCTTAAACTTCTTTTACGGGCGCTTGGAGGGCGGGGAAGCGGAACTTCAAAAACTTCTTGTAGATTCCGCAAAAAGGGAAGCCCTGCGGTATTGAACAGAAAGAAGGCTTCACAAGGTGACATAGATACCGTAGTTACTTGGGCGATTCAGAGTGAATCACAAGAACACATACGGGATGCATGCGCTATTCTTCTTTCTTTTCTTGCCTTCCTGAGAATAAGTGAAGCAGTTAACGTCCAGAAGAAGCATCTTCAAGACAAAGGTGCAGGGCTTTGGTGGCTCCTGATACCCAAATCCAAGACGGACCAGTTCAAAAGAGGGGTCACAGTGCCGTTCAAAGTCTCCGGGATATACAAAACACTGTGGGACAAACTCCTCCAGCAGTTGCTGCATAAAAACGGGGACCATTTTCTTTTCGCTTCTACCTCAGAAACCCCTCCTTCGACAGATTCTTTGAGGAAACGAATGAATGAGATTCTTCGTTTCGCTGGCTTACACCACAAGGGTTTGACCCCACATTTTACGGGGAGGCGCAGCAACTGCAGCACTTAGAAGGGGTGTCAGCCAAGACGATATCAAGAGAGTGGGGCGGTGGAAATCTACTTCATCAATGCTTCACTACATCGAACCTACTCCGATATGAGGTCATATATCCTCAGGTTTACTGTTTATTACAGATATGAAAGTAATTATTTTTCAGAGATGGACGAGACTTCTCCAGATACAGCGCAAAGGCCCGAAAACTGTTCCAGGCAGGCTCACAGCCATCTCAACTCAACAACTTCAATACAGTCCATCGCCCAATCCGACTACTTTTCGCACGACGCCGATCTGAGAATGGTTCACCTTTTGTTCGGTCTCATTATTACATTGCCGTTCGTTTTTCCTCTGTTTTAGGATGTTTTGATCCTCGGTAGATACTTATATTCTTATGTCACGTTCGCCTTTCCTCTGTTTTCAGGATGTTTCGATCCTTGTTGATGGTTATTTTCTTATATTAGGGCTGTTCATTTGTTCTTAGGATTGTTCATCCTTTGTACATACTTATGTTCCTTATATCACGTTCGTTTTTCTCTCCTTCCAAAATGTTGCGATCCTTCGCATATAGTTACTATCCATATATCATGATCGCAGAGACTCCTAATTTGCTACTCAGTTATCATTCATCATTTTCATGCCACTCTATACCGTTTACTGAAACATATCACCTGTGCTTTAATGTATTACAAGCTCATATTGACGACGCATTCGAGTCTATTGGAAAGTATCGTATGAATTGTGATGAAATGCGTCGAATAATGTAATCATATAAAGCAGAAATAAAGGCCTCGTCCTGTAAAAAGTTTCAGAAACTTCAAATATTTCTCTAACAAAATAGTAAAAGTTTAGTGATTGTCCCCTTTTTCAAAAAATTGTCCCGTTCGAACATTTTTCGTGCAAAAGCGAGTTTTTGGGCTTTCAGCGACCATAACTCACTTCATTTTCATTTCTGTGATGCACTTTTTTCATGGGGTGAAAGTACAGGATTTGCTCTTTCTAACAAGCCCAAACCGTTTTTCAAAGTTCATTTTTCGAGAAAATCACACGTTCGAACATTTTGGGGGGTTTTGCCGAACACTTTTTTTGAAATCGCGAGTTTTTGGGCTTTAAGCGGCATAACTCACTTCATTTTCATTTCTGTGATGCACTTTTTCATGGGGTGAAAGTGCAGGATTTGCTCTTTCTGAAAGCACCAAACCGTTTTTCAAAATCCATTTTCCGAGAAAATCACACGTTCGAACATTTTGTTCCCATAGGTTTTTGAGCTTTCAGCAATAATAACTTCCTTCAAAGAACTTGTTGGGGAGGGGCGAAGACATTTTTGAAGACTACGAGATTTCTGCTTTCTTATGTGTTTTACCGTTGTCTGGAAGAATCGTCCTCAGAAAATCAGGTCCCGAAGAACTTTAATTTCAGCCCCGAGAAGTCAAACCTTTCATAGGGATGCATTCAACTGTTCTTTATTCCTCAAGGAAAACACCGTAATTTGCCTAAAACTGTCTCTCTGTGCATAATTAATCGAATCTAATGCGGTCTGCACAAACAATTCTTGCCCTCGGATACGCCACGCACGCGCCTGTGGCTGGCAGTCCTCGAAATTGCGACCCCCTTCCGACCAAAATGCGACCCCTTCGTTCGAACAGTTCGAACGGACGGTTGACCCTGCCTCGGCGTAGTAGAGAACTTCCTTGAACACCTTCAAAATGCTTCTACACACGTCAGTTCGATGGAGTAAATTGAAAATGATGCACTTGGCACAGGTCATTCCGTTCTTGTTTTCGAAGCATGTGCACCATTCTAGAGTATTACTCACGCTGCCCTTTCCCTACGATTCTTTGCAGGACGCGTTGCCTTCCTATGCCATACTGATCACTACGAACCAAACCAACACGACCACTTTCCATTTAAATTTTAATTCCAGACAGGTTGTGAGATATTATTTGCATTTAGGCTAACTACAACACTTGTGAAAATAATATACAGTAAAGTGGCAGCAGTCACGTGGTGTGTTCCTTGACGAACTTTGATTACGACCCTTTCCCAGCTCTCAGCGGGGCGAGCACGACCCCCTGTCGAGGATTTCCTCGACCGTTATTTACCCTGCTCAGCGTGCACGGCTAGTATCGCAGCGTGAGTTGAAAAGTTACTAAGCTGCTGCGAAAGATGCCCAAATTAAAAGGTTAAATTCGGCTTCCTGGGAAGGGAGTCTTGTTGAATGGAATTGGTAATGCAATCTTGGAAAGGAGTGGGACTAAGTTAGGGTGTAGGGACATACAGGACGATTCACGAGATTTTTGAAGAGTTCATGGATTTTTGTGAAATTTCGAGAATTTTGAGGTGATATTAAGAACTTTGCAAATTTCGAGTTTTTTTTTCGTGTAATCATTCCATTACATTACGCTACTCGATGGATCTATTCGAGGAAGCCAACTGGATTCAACTTCCGTTAGGAACAGTTTTTGAAAGCAGTGGCGGTCTATCAAGGCACTAGGGCAGTATCAGTATTCGAATACGCTCCGAATTCACTAGACATATAGTACGCAGGTAAAAAATTGCAGCAATATCGATCCGCTCAATCTCGCCATCAAGTCAAGGAACTATGTGGAACACGTAGAACGAAAAACTCACCTAGATACTGTTCTTTCGACTGGTCGTTAATCAAAGTGCATTTCTAAGAGGTTTACGAGTTTTGGACACTATCGAGTCGGAACCGGTTAGAGCGAGACCTATACGATAAGAACTCCGTATAGAGATAGCTAGTGACTGCCTTAAATGCGTTCTCGAAGGGACGCATGGTTCGGCAGCGAACCAGTCGCATGTGTTGCATCTACACTTGAAGAAGCTGCCGCTGGCGTAAACGCACATAACGGCTTAACGATAGCCAACGTCATCATGTTTAGCTTTATAGCAGTCAGCGCCTGCTATAAGACTGAAGTCCTAGCACTGAACGAATAGAGAATAAAGCATTCGTCGCTGAGCGATTCCTTTTCGGCGTGCACCATGCATTCCACTTCCGCTTAAAATCGTGGTGGCTTTTGCAAGCAATTTGGCGACTTCGTGGGGCCCGTTTATCTACCGTCTATCTATCCTTGTTTTCTATACTCTCATTCGTACCTAGCAAAGATTTAGAAATGCCAGGAAGATGGAAGGCATGATCGACTTGAATAGTCCACATTCCAGGAGTCGCCCACGAAAAAAAAACCCAATCATAATTTATTGGCTTGATTCCCATCAAGACCGATCATCCATGAAGAACGAAAAAAACAAATGATGGGTGTTTGTTTCCGTAAACAGTCCGAAGAACCGGAAGAACTGCTACGCGTTCAAAATCCCGTCGGCGATAATCTGTCATAATGTTCGGCTGAATGAACGATTCACCTAGATCTCAGATTGCCACTAGGAAGCTTTTTCTCTTTCCACCCATGCAACGACTGATATCTTTTTCTAGCTCATCAACCAATTCGTTTTCTCTATTCCCCAAATTCGAAAGTGCAACCCGGTGTGCATGAAACTCCAGTTCGGGGGGGGGCCACTCCATTGCTATCTTATCCGTAGTACTAGACTAGCAGTTCTTTGGGCTATCGAACACTACGGATAAGATAATAAGTGAACGACTCATTTCGAGCGTACTTTTGATAAGGACCGGTGGATGTCCTACATTCCACACTACCTGCCCACATCCCATCCACTTTTCTGCACAGGTGATCCACCCTGGAGCTCCTGCACCCTTAGCCCTTTGCGGAGGTGTCCTTTCTCCTGGTCCAGGACCGTTCCCTTGGGTCATGGCAGGCGGAAATGTGAAAACGTTTCAGGGTTTCTCACCCATTACACCAATATTTATCAGAAGTCTACTTTAAATGAGTCGATTACGTGTCGTGAGCCCTCTAATCCTTATCTTGAGTATTGGAGAAAAAATGGAGTGGCCCCCCCCGAACTGGAGTTTCACCCTAATCAAACCCGGTTCTTCATGGGTCGCTCTCGATACAGTGGCCGCACCAAGCGCACTTTTTCCATGCGTTCCCTTGTGCCGCCAGGCGTTACATCGATCGTCATGGAGTGTTGGTATTGGTGGAGAAATGCAATGAATTGTCCAGTATATTCCTTTTACCATGTGATTGTGGTGCGCGTGGCAACCAGCTTCACTTTCTCTAACACTTACGAAAAATTATTGAGGAAGCATTGAATGCTACAAAACCGAACAAGGCAAACAATTCTCCGAAGTGAGCATAAAGAAACACAAATGAGGGAATCGGAACCTGTTCAAAAGAAATAGTGGGTAGTCGGCGGCTTCGACAAAAGGCTTCGAAAACACACGTAACAAAAGGAACGGAACAAATAAACGGCACATTGGGTCTGTATGACATAATATTGCCATCTGATCGATCAGGAAGTTCGCAAAAGAAACATTTCTGCTTTTGAAGCACGGTCGCGATGTGTCTCAAGAAGCTCCCTAATGTGGATTAAGTAGCTTGACCCTAAATCACATGAGTATGCAATGCTTGCGACTTGGAGCGCACACCAGTGAGGTAACTTCGCCTTGACCCGCTGCATCGCTCTCATTTCTTTATAAATATCACAGCTAGGTCGAGATTGTGCGCCCAAGCGCATCGACGCTCGCGCGTGTTCTCTCATGTTTTCGCTCTTCATGTAGCACCTGTGTCTCCTGCTGTACCCCGGCGACCCACAGGAAAATTTCACTATTTTCTATGATGTTTTTGACATTCTCATTAACTTTCTCTCTTTTCATTTCATTTTTAATTTTTGCTTTTCTGCAATGCAGCTGAAGCGGCTTCTGATAGCCTTTAAACGCTTCTATTCAGGAGATACAGTTGAAATTCATCTTGAACTTGACAATCCCCAGCTAACTCGTATTCTCATTCTAGCGAGAGTGAAGGAGCGCGTAGCGCTACTCTTTTTTACCTAGGCTACTCTCACCCGTCACGCAACCTGCTGTCATCCACTTCTAACTGATACTCACATAAAGGGTTTTGTATTCTCATCGAGTTGCTGAGATTGAGGATCAGTCTATTCAGTGGACACGTTGTTTTGTCGAATGCACACTAAATATTAGGATCATTACGGATACAAATATAGGCCAATTCAGAGTTTCACATTTCCTTTTAGAGCAAAGAGCCATTTGGGAATGTCTAGGCTTTATCGAGCGTTCGCTCAGCGAGTGACATTCACGCATATTGATTTTTTGGTGCAGCATTATTTTCGAATAGCCACATGTGAGAGAGAAAGTCTATGACTTCCGTTCTGCTTTCTATAATAGCTAAACGTGCTGAGGCCTCCATAGCGCCTGATATTTTCGAGCTAGACTAGTGAGTATTCCCTCCTGTGTTCTCGAGGTATGTCACTCGTGTTGAATAGGTTCATTTTCACTCGCCCTCGTCCGCGCTGGTTCCCACTTAACTCACGGTAAGTTGTTCGGGAGGTCGATAGGCTCTTGAGCTAGTGCTGGTTGACCTCGTGTTTAAGTGTTTACTCTTGTGTGCTCTGGTCAGTCTTTTCTTCTGCTCCAATTAGAGATGTCCGTTTGCAGGCGCGACTTGCCGAGTGGTCTAGCTTTCAATACTTGTATCCATCATCAGTTAAGAATATTAATAGAGTGGAATGTAAACTTTCGCTAGTTGCCATACGTCTTTCATCGTCCCTCATGAGAGCTCTTCAGTCACACTAATATGCCTGCCTTACTTTTCGCTGCGGCGGCTCTCATTTCGAAGCGTGTAACTGTGTGCATTGTAATTCAGATAACAGAAGGGTAACCGGCGTAGGCCACACGCTCGGTCAATTCAGTCGACAGCAACACATATCCACACATAGTTGTCGGACCGTAGGTGCTGAGGAAAGTAAATGTGGAAATCAGTAGTTAGGCTTAGGGTCGAATTGCCTCGTCAATCAATTCGGTTTAAAAGAAGTATTTGCATATCCAGAAAACTAATGTTTTACTGGCCTTCTTTCTACAGCCAGCATATTTTTTTCTGTTTGTAGCCGCGCAGTTTTTTCTTATCTATCTTTGTATGACCGGGTCTGTTCTTTCCGTCAGCAGTAAGTAAGTCTTTTTGTCCGGTCTTGACAGTAATCTACTTCGCAATATCTATCAATTTGTTGTCTTTTGTCTACTCGGAGTTTCTCATTGTTTTGTCACAACCATAAAAACTAGTCATTTGACTGTTCTGCTGCAATTCTTCAGGAGAAATTACTCCTACTCGTCATTCAAGAAGGTTCGAATCAAGAGCACAAATACTTTTATACTTCCAGTAAAATATTTAGAAATCATTACAAAAGTTTAGGAGGGTGAATGCGGAGAGAGAACTTTTCACGGGTAGATTCTGGCTTCCTTTTCGTACGCCTAAATCGTCGCCAAAACTTGTAGACAAGATTCATGATTTCGGTCCTCGCAGTGTTCGCGAATGTACGTCATTGATAGAGCGTCTGATATAGTACTACTATCATGAAGCACTGTACCACTGGTACATGACGCCTGTTTCGGAACCTCTGCATCTAAACGATTATTCACATAAGCTTACCTGCAATATTTGCCAGAATGTTGCAGTTTGTAATGAGGGGTTCAAGGATCTGAGAAGCAGGCGATGGCTCGGTGGAGCTTCATGTTTTTGCGAAGGTTAGCCAATTCATTCGCTGGAGGAGTCACGTGAATGGCGCGAAATCAATGTGTAAATTACTGCTTAACATAAGCTGATACCTTCAAAATAAAAAAACAGGCACACGTGTTTGCATTTGACTCGCGTAGTGACGAACTCTCAATTTTTACGATCATTATTCTATATCTCTGAAGGTCTAGTGCATTTCCTGTAGTTGATTTCGGTTCATGTGAGGTTGCATTTAACACACTCTACGACGCTGTTAGATGTGTAGCGGGAGGTAAGACACTCGTAGGAGTACTGATATATTGGACAATAAACGGGACGTTGCGTTTACTAATCGATAAATTTCGTTCATATCGTTGATGCTAAATCGCCACGCGTGAATTCCACATTCTCGCATCTAGAGAGATTATTTTAATAGCGCATTCTACCAGCGTTCAGTATAATATCTCGTATAAAGTGTTAATTTAGAATATTTAGTGCAGCTATCGTGGCTAGGAGATGTGAATGTCTCGCGTCATTGGGAGCTGGTAGACTATTATGCCGTTTTTTCTTAACCTTTCTGTAGTAGGATATGGTCGACTCTGCAATAGACTATTTCATATTAATTTAACAACCAGTGAGGATTAATGGTAATTTGAGGGTATGGAGTCACATGAAAGATTCGTAATTCAGTGACCTAAAATTACTTTTGCAGGACACTTTTCACTTGCTCATAGAATTGTTCATGTTCTCAGAGTGTTGAAATATAATTATGAGATACGGTCCTGCGAAAATCAAAATTAAAAATCCAAGATCAAAAACTGGAAAAAAAGTTCAAAAAGTGCATTCGCCTGAAAAAGACAGTCGCGTTGTGAACTGCAGTTCTCTATTGTGCTGAAGATGTCCTCTCTCCAGTGATGCTCTAAGAAATTTCATGATTCGCTCTCGATACATACTACAATATATAATGCAAAATACTTTTACAGCATACTTACAACGCTTATTGATAAGAAGCGGCTTTGGATATAGCAGTGACTGTACATTAATGCTTTCTGTCTTAGCTTGAGTCTTTAGTATAACAGTTCAAGTCTCTCACTTATTAGGGCTCTCTTCTACTTAGTAAATGAACTTCGATCGTTTTCTCGGAGGCCGGTCCAGTGTGAGAGGCAGATGCCTAGACAGTACTGCTCATTATCTAGTTATAATTGAGTTAGCAATTCCATTGAATCGCGCTACCCTTGATGTAGTAGGATTTTCGTTGAGCCTCTCTTAGATAATGTCACGCCTCTGAATTACATATATTCAGGTCTTCTCATATCGCTTTTTATTTATTGATTGCAGCGTGCAAACAGACAATGAGGCCTGTCGCTCGCCTTAAATTCATGGGCTTGGGGGACGAAAATTCACGATTAGAATGAAGGTCGAAGAAGGAGTAATTCACCTAGTTGAGACCGCGGACCTCCTGAGGGTGCGGACTGACGCGCAATTGGCACCGAAAGAGTTGACCTCGGCGACCTAGCATGGCTCAATCTTGGCGCGGTTGGCCGTACGCCCACCGATCATCTGATCACTCGCCGCAGGTCTATACGTGGCGAGTGATTAGATAGCAGAGAGCGTAGTGTTGAAGAGGGCACAGCGATGAGAGTCGCATCAATGCTCAAATCAACGGGCAAGGAAGGGGTCCCATTTCTCGGGTTCTGGGCCGTTTCTCATGGTTTTTCCTTCTTTAGCACGTTCACGACATCGCGCGTTTTGTGCTTTTGCACCGCGTGGGAAAAGAGTAATTTTGCGAGCGCAGCCGCTTTCAGTGATATTCCATTTGTCTAGCTTATCAGGAGTTACAGTAATGGAAGTTTGACCGAAATGACGTGTTAAGGCCATGAAAAGGGAAATTTTACTTAATTTCCCTTTAGTGGTTCCAAAATTAATTTGGACGTGGTTGTTTCAGTAAAAACACATATCTTCCCATACGAATAGGTTTGTATTCACTTCTGTTATTCCTTTTTATCAACATGTCTACGTTATTGAAAAGAAAACGAGGAATGAACTGAACAGACATATCCGTAAGGTCTGGAAAACTCTGCCAAACTAAAGAATATTTGGCCTTTCTGTGAGCCATGTGGTTTTTAAGTATGCTAATGTATGACCTATAGAATGAGTACAAAGACCTTAGGAATAAGTCGCACAAGCGCAAGAAAAAGGGATGACTTGGGTGGGACGCGTTACCGCGTCACAATGTCCCACGAGGTGCGCAAAGTGGGACGCGTTACCGCGTCACGCTGTCGTCAACGTGTTGGTGTAGCACTCATCATCGCTAAGTTGATTTGAAATGGGTTGCCTTTCCAGCTTGAATTCGTCCATGAGGTTTCCACCAAACAACCTCTACGGTCCCAAAATCACAGAAGCTACAGTATTCTTTTTGCTAAAATAAAATACGAAGTGTTTTACAAGTGTGACTAGTTACACCTTTTTGAAACTACAGACAGCTTCAATTAGAAAGCAGTTTGACCTGAAACCTGAACTTGGCATTTTTCCAAATTAACTCAACAGCTCCGTGTTCACTATAATTAGTAAAAACCATTTATCGTACAGTTCATTCATCAACACGGTTTTCCTCGACAATCAAGTCTGAATGTAAAACAAAAAAAACTGTAAAGTAAAAACTACAATAAGGAATAGATGTGAGACATGTCAGAAGCAATTATGTGAATGTAAATTTAGCATGGGCGATAAACAACCGAATATAAACCACGTCGGAAGACAGGACAAGCAAGCTCGCCTACAAGTTTTTAGACCTCATGCAATAGTGAGAACAGCTTGCTGAATTCAAATGTCTTAACAAAAAAACGTAACAACCGCTTAACATTTCACGCCAAATAGGATATCGCCTGCTCATTGAAATAGGCAACAAAAAAGTGCGCACTTCTAAATTATAACTGGATTGGAATTCAATTAAGTATTTACTCATTCTTTAACCAGATTTCTTCAATGCTTCGCTCCACGTCCTTTGCCACGGCCACGAAGAGCGGCGCGAGCTCTTCCTCTCATTCTAGCGCTCATTCTTTCTGCCGGAATATCCTGATGCGCACTGCTGGGGGCTACGTGACGAATTCCTGGTTGATAAAGTCCAATAGGGCGACGACGTCGTGCAGCAAATTGAGCTGCTCCACTTTCGTTACTGTAAATTGCGATTTAGCTCGAGGAATACCAGGATGGGAATTAATTCATTACCTGCTTGAGCATTGATCCTCAGCACCGTAAACAATTGGGATACGTAGACGAGCTGTCTGAGGTGCAGCAGATCCACCTGCACTAGAGGTTGTTAGCGATGACGCGGTGGTGTGACGGAGTGTTGATGAGCTTCCAGCGTTTGAACTGTTACCAGTGTCCGTTCTGCCTTCATCATCAGCTTCTTCTACAGCCGATGCCGCTTCGCGATCCTCATCGTCCACAAAATCACCGGAATGAGCCGGTGCATCGAGCGAATTGTCTGCAGTAGAAAAGCATCAAAAATAAAGAATAATGAGAATGGGAAAAAGATACCATCCACTAAGTCGTGTGGTGAGGAATTGAGATAAAGAGAAAATATTATAAAGGCATAGGGGAGAAATTCGAAAAACTTTGATCAAAGCAAAATCTGTTCCAATAAAATGCTGAGGTATTCATAAGCCCCTTCCGGCCATGCACAAAACCTTCATCCAGTACTGCTTTAGGCCGATGTCAGACTTTGCGAATCGCGCGATTCGCTAGCGTCCGCGGTCGCGTTGCGGTACCAGCCAATTGAGTGATTCACTGGCCGCGACGCGACCGCAGACGCTAGCGAATCGCGCGATTCGCAAAGTCTGACATCGGCCTTAAGAAATTGAACGGATACTGTATCTAGAGCAGTCTATCGATGTTAGCATTGTTTTTTCGATCTTTTAAGTGGATTCAAGTTCGACATTAATTAGATGGTAAAAAGAAATGATCCCGTAAACCACGCACATAAACCATGTCAGTGTAATGCAACAGAATGGAACGACAAACGCGGACAAGAGCTATAAAAACAAAAAAACTCCCTAAACGCATTAAGACAAACCATCAGCAGCCAACGCTTCATCATCTTGACCGACAACCAGTCCATCCCCGTCGTCAAGCTCATCATCACCGTGGTCATCTTCCATCTCTACTTCGCCTATCTCTTCAGCATCGTCTTCTCCATCAGAGAGTACCTGCTTGAACGCACATCAGGAATAATACATGATACATTTTCAAAATAAGTTACCACGACGTCAGCAGAATCTCCGTTATCTATTTCTTCGTCCGATTCCATTCCACCGTCATCTGCAACACCGCTGGTCGATTCAGTATCGAAAAAATTGAAATGAAGAAATAATAAATAATAGAGGAAAGACTGATCTCCTCAACAGACTCCCATATCCTACTAACCTTCATCTTCATCAAAATCATCCATTGATTGCTCAGACACATCCTCATCAGAGAGCAATTCAATCTGAAAGTTCAAGCATTAACACAGCCACATCAAAGGAGATTATGAAAATTGGCATTCGTAGTTGAGGTGGAAGAGATAAGCCAAAACAAAGGAAGTCTTATTGCCGCAGTCAAAACGTGGCAAAAAAAGACGGTAATGATTGGAATTTTATGAAAGCAATGGGCCAAACGAAAGTTGTTTCCAGCTAATAAACTACTCGGTATTAAGCGGTGAATTGCGACCTACTGCAACTATGTGTCGTTCATAATCATTCAAATGCCTTGATGCTTCCTCCGTAAGCTCACAAAATTGAGGCGAAAAGATGAAATTCAAAAGAAATGACAGGTTCGAACAATAAAATATTACTTATTTACCTACAGAATAAAAACCGACCAATTTGCTGGTTTCCCGGAGAATCTTTCAGTGTATGAAAAAAATATACACCTAAAAACTAGTGAGTACGAACCCTCCATCAGGAATTAATAATACCCCTCCTTCCACTTCGCTGCACCATTCACAATACGTATCCTTCCTTCTCAACCGTTTGCATATCTGCCTCCACAGGAAAACTTGCTCAAAGGCTGTGCCGCCGACAGCTGTTTTCAAACTGCTTATCACTTATCAAAACGTACATGTTGTACCGAGTCTTCTTGTCCTTCTTCAAGAACTTCAATGTCCTCATCGCCTTCAGCGTCATCTGGAACATCCATTACTTCCATGTCAGCAGCGGCTACCATTCCGCTTTCGGGAATCACGTCTGAAAAAATCAAAGGCTGTACCCTGAGAAAATCGCGCAAGCCTGGACTCTAGTACATCTTAGCCCTATAAAAACTGAGTAGAATTCCGCTGTGGACCAAAAATGTGATCGTGTTCCAGTTCTAATTGAGAGGGTACCGTAACTCTCAGTCTTCTTCATGAGACAGGTTCTCATTGAGCTTCTTCGTCGCAGGCGCCAAATTACAAGGACCTTTCCTTTCAGTTCATATATTATCAATCTCCAACGAGCAGATTCACAGCCTTGTTGTCCTGCTGCCTATTTATCACTGTCCAAGAAAAATCGTATTTTATTAGCCGCTCAGAGACTTCTGAGCTTCTTTCATGTAGTTGAGAACTTCAATCTCGAACTGGTTAGGTGACAGCTTCGCGAGAACTGCAGAAAACCTTTTTCCGGACCACAATGCTCTAAAGCAGTCCATTCTTTTTTAGCATTTCTTGCGGAAATATATTGACGCCATTCGCGCCATGCCCACGTATTGTAAGTTAAGAAATGAATAAACAGCATAATTAAATACCAAGATCACGCCGTTCTTCGCTGCTGGTGACCACTTCACTCGGGCTGTCACGATGGCGCTTTGACTCGCAGCTGGATGACTCATTGGTTGCAGTGCGTTTACGCCTTCCATCTGATGATGACACCGGCATGCCACTACCGCTGTCGCGCGATTCTCCCGCAGAGTCTGAAATATGTGATCTCAGGAAAGCACTGGAAAACTACTGAACAAAAAGCAGTACCATTATGGCCAGCGCCATCATCGTCGTTGACATCTCTACGTACTTCACCACTGCCACTTACCTGAAACGAACAAATACTGCACAGAAAACCACAACCCCAAATCGACAAATTAAGGTACCTGACTGCTTTGTTCTGCTTCGGTTATCACTGATGCACATCCAATGTTTCCCTCTGAGGAACTGTTTGCAGTTGAAGTGCTCACCTTGAATAGAAAACTTTGGAAAAACATAAGAGCTGGACCCACACAAATTCGCCATATAGATATCGTTCCCAGTTTCACACCAAGTAAGGCTGAAGCAACAAAAAAGACAGCTAAAAAATTGACTTACGCTTGGAGCCGCGGTTGGAGCAGACTTGCCAAACAGAGACTGCCCAGGACTTATGCGAGCAGCAGACGATGTTGCAAGCGAATACGTGACAGGTGACGACGGGACTACCTGGATTTAAAAGATATCTCTCGTGATTCAACGAAAGAGGCTTTGATAGGTGCCGCGGGGAAAAAATCAATTGTGAATGAACGATAAATACGCAAAGTAGGAAACAGCAAGCGTCACCTACGACGAAATGTAATCAGGTGCAAGGTGAAATATCGGTCAGGAAGGAGTTTTTTACCGCAGGTCACCAGTAGTGAATTGCCAGGATAGAGATGGGCTAATCAGCGGTAGTATGGGTTTGTAATGCAATAGTAGCGCCACGTTGAGATACTAAATGTGAGATAAAAATTCGTCTAGCGATTTACATTCTGGTGTCTATGCTCGTCTTAGAAGATCAAAAGGTTAATTTGTTATTAGTGGTCCGCAAATGACTGGTTAAGGTCAAATCGCATCAAATGCCTTCTACATAGAACGCATGGCACCTCGTACACATTATATGAATGACAGACTATAGGAGGCCAAAAAATAGTTGTACAGTGACTGTAGCGTGAGTAAGATAATATTGAATAACTCTTAAAAGCCACAAATTAATTACTGAACATGGTGAGCAATTTTTGAGTGCGTCATCCTGCGGTTTTCCGAGATTCTTCACATAAGGAGTTGAGACGACTGTAGTCGATGAAAGCGGCTCTCTAGATTTAAGACAACTTAGGACTTGGATGCAGGAAAGAGCGGGTGATTTGAACTGGTGGCGTGGATGAGATGACACTCCCGTGAGTTGAGGTGAAACAACGGAACTCTTCGAATAAAAAATATATGTAATACAGATTTACCCACCCAGAAAATTGGTCAGCTATGTGGTCACGTAGGTGGGATTTGGTGAATGATGTGTGAATACAAACCGCTACACGGCTTTGGAGTTTGGAAGCGATTATCGACCACTTGACTGAGGATTACTGAATGCATGAACAGTATGAAAGTGACATGAATAATTTGCTTTTATAGTGGAGATAATCCTCTCATTATTGTTTGATGATTATTCTTTGAAGGTTTTTCAAAGCCTTTTTGATCGCCACTCCTCAGCTCGTTGATGGATAACCTTCAATTTGTTGCGACACTTCTTTGATGAACAATGCCTTGCTGTTCAACAAAAACAATAGAAGTACGGAAGTAAAGCTGTTGACAGAATGCTGTTTCCATCTTCTTGATTGGTCGGTTCTAAGAGCTACTCCCATCGATATCGGTTTGTTTGTATTTTTGTTTATGTGCGTTGTGTTTGCTAGCTTATGTATGTATGTAGGTGTGTGGCCGGAACGCGTCGTCAGCCTGGCCAGAATGGGCCTCCGGCCATTATTATGTGGTGCTCACGCTAATGAACGTGCGAATGAGGAGTCTTGGACGATTTGGGTGACAGTGCATCTCTAGCCACTGCACCATATCCACCCAGCCGGCTCCTCGTGTCGTGATGCTAATTTACTATGAAGTTAAAACATACCATACAAGATTGCTCATCATTACACATCAAAAGATCTGTCTTACTCAAGCGAACGCTAAATAAGATCCGTGGGCCGAAAATTATTGAAGCTCACCTGTCAGGTAATGAACCAGCTGACATAACAGAGGAAGCAGACAAGGAGAGCGATGGACGTGGTTGGTTTCCAGATAACACTGCACTGATTTGGCCTTCCAGAGACTGAAATCACAAAATTAGTATCAAAGCTAATACCACAAATTATGAGATCACACCAACCGCAATGCGAGCCAGTAAGTCGTTCTTTTCCGCGTTCAACTGGGCTACACGAGCCTGAGCTTTCTCGAATGACGGAGCCATTGCGCTGAGGCGGAATTTCACCTCTTCGAATTCTCCTATTTTAGTCGTCAAATCATCGCTTAGCTTCTAAAAATTATTTATCACTTTTATTGGCGAACAACGAGCTGATGACAAGCTCAAGAGCTTCAGACAAGAAGAGCAAAAATAGTGACAAAAGCAGCGTACAGCATTCTCCTGCTCCAGTGCAGAAAGACGATCCTTCATGGCTGTTACGTCAGGAGAGGCACTAGAACATCAGCTATTTCAAAGACCATGGAATAAAGAGCCCTCAGCTACAATGGCACGAAATTTTCCGTAATATCTTTCCAACCTTGTTTCGGCCGAAGAAGACGTTGAAGCGGCAGATTTCAAGCGGGAGACTTCAGCTTCCAAATTGGCGATTTTCTGTTTGTCTTCCGTGTTCTAAAATTGAAGACTAGAGCGACCAGCGCCAACTTATATACTAACCATCCATCTTGTTTGTTTGCAAACGAGAATGCTAAAGTTTTCTTAAGACTTTTCCTTTTTAAGCAAAACAGCCAAGTCAGTGACGTGGAAACTGCAAGACCACTTTCGTTTTTCCGCTTATAACGCAAATGAGCTGTGCGGTCAACACTTTCATAACGGTGCAAGATCAATTGACACATCTGAAAGGATCTGAAGTGGTCGATCGAGTAGCGCCAAATAGCGCCGCAACCATTTGCGTGGCGGTGATCAAATATCGGACCGACTGCAGCCTTTGTTAGCCAGACATGATATCCCTTCTCAACCGTTTACCACATTCAACCAGATGCAGCTCCTGTGAGCTGCCAGATAATAATCGCCTACCAACCGTTTGTCGATTTTTTTTGCATAATTTTGATACCAGAATAATTACCGTCTTAGAGATTACTAAAATTTTTGGGCTGGTTCTTATTCGCAAAATTCACTGTTGTGAGATGAGGCGGCGGTAAAATTGCACCCGTTTCACCAAAAAGCGGAAAAGGGCGCCGTTTTGAATGGAGATTAACATCCATTTGCCCTTTTTGTACTTTACTACCCCCTTGAGAACTGAGCCGAATTATTTCGATAATAGCAATGACAGCGGATTTGCTAGAAGTTGCCTCCGGAGGGCGTCCGAAAGCGTAAAACAAACGTCGAATGTCGCATGTCGTTTAGCGCGAAAAAATGCCTGGACCGCCCGAGCCACAAGGCACTCACCCAAGAAGAGCGCAGAGCAGCCCGTCGATATCACACCAAAATTCACTGGAAACTTGTCGTCAGGGGTAGCTTTACCCGGAAAAAACGAATATCACTTCAGTTCATTGTGAGTAAGCTTGTAGCCTGCACCACGGAAACCGGCGCAAATAATTTGATAGCACCGGAGCTAGTGGCGCGGGTGCCAGACACTGTCGTGCTGAGCGAATGTAATATTCGTGTTGTGCGCGTTGAAATAGCCCTGGAAACAACTTTCTAGCTAAACCCTTAGGTATGGACAAATTTTGATCAAAATTCGGCTTAGGGTTTGAGGGGCAGTAAAGTGTTAAAAGTGTCTATTTGCCAAATAAACACAATACTAGCTAGTACATCAACTGACAGCCTCGTTACGCGCAATTCATTGTAAGTCTAAGGGCCTACTCCAATACAAGGCCTTGCGATTCCTATCGCAGAAGATGTAAGATGTGCCGCCATCTCAGGAAAAGGGCGCTGACCACACGCTGTATTCTTATGCGCAATAGTGAAGCGCTTCTACCTAATTGTCACCAAATCTCATATAGCTTCGCGTGTGCGAAAGGAATCAATTCTGCTTGATGCTAAGTGTTACTCCGATATGAAAAAGTGGCAAGCAACGTTTCATGCCTTATGAAAGAGGATTGAATGAAGCGGGTGTAATCATTCACCCCTTTCTGCGATTCTAAACTCGTCGTACCAAACAACCCAAGACCGAGCAGCTGCTTGAAGATGTATTGTCCTGCACAACGACTGGCACGATCGTTTATGTGTGAATTAGCATTTTCATCCATCCAGACGAGTCTAGAACTTTGCCGATCTTGACAGGTTGGAATACGTGATGCACCTGACGAGGGAAGGTCAATCAGGCCGGTCCGGCCATTTGCAATGAGTCTGTATACCGTTGAAGTCGCCTCGAGCGCTGAGCTCAAAACTGCCTTCACTATCTGCTAAACGATTTTCTGAACGTAGTTATAAAGCAAGGAAGCGCAGTGGCAGTGCCCCGAACTCGCGAGCAAGAGGTCGTGGGAACGGTTCCTCGGCTGCTTTGCTTGTTTTTCAATAGATCAGGTGGTGACGAAGCCACGAAATAGCTCTAGATTCGAGTCAATTCAACACCAATGACTCCACGTTAAGTGTACACTTGTATAAGAGTTGCTGAGCATCATGAGGGTGGATAATGAGTCCGGCACATACTTCGCTCGGCCAGACATGGTACTACCTGGTGGCATGCATGGCGACTCTTCCTGTGCTCTCTTATGACTCCCGTCGCAAGCATACGTTAGCAGACGCGGAGAGGTTCCTGTACTTGTAGTCGAGCGTAGCTCTCTGAGAAAGCGGAGGTGGCAGAATTACGGAGTAAGAGCGGGTCATTACAGGAGATAGCGCGGTCACCGGGGCCTGGATGACCGTCGCCGGTAGTTGAGTACCATGACGGATGAAGTAGGAGGCAAGCATCGCCAGGAGTCACGAGTAAATCGAATACATACATGGGAATGTGAGTAGCAACCATGATCTGCTGGCTCCACTTCCGGCACGCAGCAGTCGGCAGGAATCAGAACAGCGGTCGACATCGTTTTGCATGCGCGGGAGCTGAATTGGAAACTGGAGACAGTTACTGAATCCGCGGAAAGACGCTATCCATTTCTTCTACCACCCAGAGTTCTTGGTAATGAGCGCCTTTTTCTTCTCAGCAACGACCCCATCGTTTCCAGTCAATCTCATTCATTAGAGGCGTCCTCATTCTTTCAGTGACTCAATGGCCTCGTTACTGTACCTAGACGGAGGCAATCTGAACAATAGAAAAAAACAAAGCATTTGCATGAGAATGGTTCCTATTCGAGTCCTCGCTCAACCATAGACCCACACTGAAGTCAATCTTAAATGACCCCTGATCAGCTGCGTTCGCCCACAAAGGTACGAAGATTTGATAGCCATAACAGGATTCCCTAGCCGCGGAAGTGAAAGGATAAAGACAAGCAAACAACGGAAATGCTATATCTCGGCGCAACTTTCGCATCCACAGCGGCTAGTGCGTAGGAAAAGCGAAAGTGCGCGTTCATGAGTGTTGACCTCGATCCGACGGCTTCACTTCACAAGATCTCAGCCCTAGTCTAAGGCTGAGATGCTTCCTCACTTTACATTTATCTACCTTACTTTACTTCAAGCCATACTCATATTTTCGCAAGAAGTACAAAATGTCCCCTTCTACAATCATCCACAAAGTGAAGTGCCGCTGCTAAATCGAATTCAAATAGCCGATTACCAAGGAAACGCTAACGTGAGTTTTGCGCCTTGTTTGAATTGATTCATGTAAAAGGAATATTTCACCACTTTGCTAAAAGAAGTTGGTGAAATTCTCAGTCATGCTTACCCACACAATAAAAAATAGAAGATGAAGTATTAGTCAATCCCGTCCCGGATACGCCACGCATTCTACCACCGCTTATAATCGTAGTGGCGTTTGAATGCGATGTGGCCTATACAATGACTTGCGGGGGCCAGCCGATGTACAAGTCAGTGTTTTTATCCTCCCAGACAAGTCTGGTACCAATTAACCGACCCCGGATGGACCTTGGATGGCCCGGGCGACGCACGACCCAGGTTTTGATTCCGTTCTTCATTCTTTAAGAAGATGAAAGGTGAAATATTTGATGGTGAAAGCCCCATTTTCGGATATACCACACATTCGAACTTGTTCGAGTCGTTCATTCATAGTGGCATTTCAATGCATACTTGGCCACATATGACGACTTAGTTACCCCAATTTCCGGTAGATTAACCCGCGGAGATGACTTGTAAAAACACCTCCACTGGTGCAGTGCACTTGTGTACATCTAGAGAAAACCGTAATTTGCCCAAAATCGATATGCTGATTACGAAAACGACATTCATTTTTAGCGGTGGCGCCATCTGGCGCCAGTTGGCGTCACCTTGTCACGACCCTTGTTTTCACCAAAATCGGTGTAAACTTCAGTATAGGGGTTATTTGGTGCCCTGATTACGAATATGACATTCGTTTTTGGCATTAACGTTGTTCAACGCATATTTCTCGGTTGGAGAGCGCAGACGAGCAGAAAATAGGCGCCAAATAGCGCCAGCGCCGAGAATGAATGTCATATTCGTAATCAGGACACCAAATAACCCCTATGGAAGTTTACACCAAATTTGGTGAAAACAGGTGTCGTGACAAGGTGACGCCAACTGGCGCCAGATGGCGCCACCGCTAAAATGAATGTCATTTTCGTAATCAGGGCATCGAATTACCTCTATAGGCAAATTTCGGTAGTC